GATTTCATTGGTAAAACTGTATTCAGGGTAAATCTTACTATAAGATGCAGGTAATCTTTAAATTGATCACATATTCATTAAAATTCAGCTGCTGAACAGTCCATACTGAGCAACTTTTATTTTACCTATTAGAAAACCGATATCCTCTTTATTTTAAGTAGATTGCAATTTCGGATTTTCGGACACGACTTTTCACAGAATCAATGGCAAGTAAGTTGAAGTATGGTTAATTCGTGACTGATGGTACAGCTTTTGAAATAAATCGTAATTGCTCGTACTGAATAATTTGTTTTAAATATAAATTGACTAAATATTTGTATTTAGAGAAGAGAAGTAACAAGAGATTATTAATTTCGTTTATCAACTTTATTAACCTGAAACATCCAATAAGTGTTCTTGTAATGATACATTTTAGACCTGTAAACTTTTCGAGACAACAATCAATGAACACTACAACTGAACTAATATATGTGTGACATCAAAAGATTAGAAAACTTTAAAACAGTAAACAATGACTTTGCCCAAATATTTTAAAGCTTAGTTCCAATGTTGGGAGCTTTAGCAGACTAAATTAAATACGTTTTCCTTATGTTTGAAAAATTCGTTGACAGTTATTTTTAACTGTTGTAATCTTCAATTAAACTAAATAAAGATATAAAGTGAAACATTCAGGCTGTTTGATTTTTCATAATTCACATTTCAAGAATCATATAGCCTTTTTACAGATAGTTTAACTATTTCATCTTCTTTGACACACGTTAGAATAAATTCATTATCCCATCAACATGGAATTTATGTTGTTTTTTGGCCATGACTGTGTGAGGTATTGACGAACTATTCTAGTGCAGTAACTTTGAAAATCGATATTTATTTTCGATAAGAAACATAAGAAAGGCTTTTTGTTGAACCTTATCGAACTTGGTACTTTTCACTTTCATGTTAATAAACTAGCAGTGTTCAAATGATTTTTGAAATAGTATTGAACATGACACTTTTGACATGGTGGAGTTTTAATTCAAATATATGAATGTAGAAGATGTAAAAACCTTTACATATTTGGGCAGTATCATCGATGAACACGGTGGATCTGATGCAGATGTGAAGGCACGGATTGGCAAAGCAAGAGCAGCATATTTACAACTGAAGAATATCTGGAACTCAAAACAATTAGCAACCAACACCAAAGTCAGAATTTTCAATACAAATGTGAAGACAGTTCTACTGTATGGGGCGGAAACCTGGAAAACTACGAAATCCATCGTCCAAAAGATACAGGTGTTTATTAACAGTTGTCTACGCAAAATACTTCGGATCCGTTGGCCGGACACTATAAGCAACAACCTACTGTGGGAGAGAACAAATCAGATCCCAGTGGAGGAAGAAATCAGGAAGAAGCGCTGGAAGTGGATAGGACACACATTGAGGAAAGCACCGAGCTGCGTCACAAGACAAGCCCTCATATGGAATCCTCAAGGTTGAAGGAGGAGAGGAAGACCAAAGAATACATTACGCCGAGAAATGGAGATAGATATGAGAAAAATGAACAAGAATTGAATGGAACTAGAAAAGAAGGCCCAGGACAGAGTGGGTTGGAGAATGCTGGTCGGCGGCCTATGCTCCATTGGGAGTAACAGGCGTAAGTAAGTAAGTACCAATACATTCAACCATGAGGGGAATCTTTAGTAGAAAACTTATACATCCGATCAATAAACTTCAAATGTAGCTAAATATTGCTTTTCGGTGAACACCTCTACATATCATTACAATGGTATCTGTATAGGATTTTTATAGATCAGTTTTGATAGTTTAGATGTTAATCGCTGAAAAATTCCCATCATATTAAAACACGGATATATGAACAAAGAATATTCTTCTCGATAATTTCTCTTCAGGCTCTGTAATTATATATTCAAATCAATAATCCAAAAATTGTCCAGGCTTATTATTTTTGCGAAACCTGATAAAGATACTGTAACTGTCCTACTTAGCAAAACGTGACTATATTGACTAGATGAATAAAATCTTGACTGATCAGCTAAAATTCCAGAAACTGAATGACCAAAAAGACGTCAGTAATAAGATAGAAAATGAACTGACCAGATCTTTAAAAGAGCTCAGAAATCAACAGGTAATTCCATCAAACATATACGAAACAATTAAGCCGATAGGTATTCATTTATCAATGATAAACGGACTATCGAACGTACAAAGACCGAATATCCCATTGAGACCAAGTTTGGACATATACAATTCCCTTTACCATACTGTAGCAAAGAGGTTAATAACCATTTTAAAACCATTTCACAAACACCTAGTGAAGCATAGCATTAAGGATATATTCCAGTTCGTCGACAAGATCAAAAACATAGACTCTAAGCGACAAACGATGATGTCCTTAGACGTAACATCATTGTTTACAAATGTCCCACTCAGCGAGACTGTAGAATATATTTTTGAACAACTTAGAGAACAAGAAATAGAGAATACAATTCCAGTGAACATTATTACTAAAATATACTATGAATGCAAACTTCAAATTCAGTGGTGAAAAATATAGAGAAATAGATCGTGTCTCTATGAGTTTATCACTAGGTTCCATATTGGCTGACATTATCCTCTCTGAACTAGAAAACGGTTCATTGGTACAAAAGAGTGACAATTTTTCACTTCACTGCCGATATATAGACGATGCGTTAATCCTTTGTAACGACCATATTAACCTGATAGAAACACTCGAGAGATTTAATGAAGTTCATCCGTCTATAAAAGTCACATGTGAAGAAGATAATAGTGGTAGAATAGCCTTTCTAGGTGTTCTTTTTACAAGAAGGATAGATAAATCACTAAGAAGAAACATAAACAAGAAAACCACTTGGTATGGCCTATATACAAACTTTCTTAGTCTTGTCGCTCTACAATATAAAAGAAACCTGATTAGGACACTTCATTATGGAATCAAGACCATATGCTCTCTAGATGTGGTTAAAGTGGAAACATTATTATACAACACTATTATTAACCAAAGAATAATTGATTCATTTAGGTCAAAACAAAGCAAAAACAACCTTCTTCCGTATGTTTACATTTCTTTATGATGAGGATATATATATTAACTATTTTTCAGTGTGTTCACTTTCGACATGATATTTCTCAATCCATTATTATTTGAATAAGACACATTAATAATAGTATGTATGAATTATTTAAATTATATCAATGTAAAAATATTGTCATGACTTAATATTACTCTTACGACGACACCGATGTCGACGACAGTTGCTGCTACTGTGAAAGAAGATCGATATCCGGAGAAATTTATAAACGTTTAGCCAAGAAAAGAGAGTATAAAGAATACCTAACTGAACAAAAAGCCTCTGTATATGCGCTTACAATTTAGAGGCGATGCACCCAGCGAAATGCCAGTACTAAAGTGATACAGAGCAATCCAAAGAACATTTAATGCAGATAAACTACAATTACTGTTTTCCACAATTCCGATGGTCACTCCGAGATTGAAAGATAAATTACCTAGACTAGCCACTTCTTTCTGTATTTATCCATTCAATTGCTGTTGTGGAGAGATTTATATTGGAACAACACATATAAGCGGACAACTGTTTTCAATTAGATCATCATCAGGCAATTGGGCCCGCAAGCACCTACCAGTGTGGTTAAGAAAAAGTATAGTTAAAATTGTTAACAACTCTATTTTAGCTCATTTAGTAAAGCAATATTGGACCAGTTATAATTTCGAACTATTCACTTGTCGTACTGAATAGAACTTTCCCTATAGTTTACTTTCCTGATAGAAAATGAAGTTGAAGTATCTTCCAAGTACTGTGTATTCTTTTATAAAGTGTGAAATTGTTTTTTTCATTTGAAACCCAAAACTCTTTCTTGAAATTGCTTTAAAGTAGGATTTATCAATGAAACTTCAATGTTTGATTAAAATAAACTGATTAATACATTGATCACCTAGTCAGACCATATTTGTTAAATTATATATTGTTGAGCTTTCAAAATTACATTCCTTATTTCATCAACTGTTCTTTCGAACTGACTTAAAACAACAATAACATAATGATAGATAATGAAAGAGTAAATAACGAACTATCCAGTATTTACGTTTAGTTTCGTAAGAGTAATTTATGGGTAACATATCGCATTATTAACAGTATACTGAGACATTGAACAATGTAAGTCAAGATGAACTACGGACTTATGGGCGAATGGTTGAAAACAGTGCAAGAACTACTGGACGGTAATCTACAGTAAATCATCATGATTTAATACACTACAGTTTGTGTTCAAACCATGTCTAGTGTACGGACTTAACGCGTACCTTTCTTTCCATCTAATTGTTCATGAGAACACAACGATATTGTAACTTGTCTGAAGTTGTCTGATATAATTTGTTGAGTTGATTACATTTAAACTAACAAGATAAAACGAATATATCTTTTATCCTTTCTAGCCATATGTATAATTACGTTCAGCTTGGTTTAGGGGACTGGGAATATTCTTAATGGCTTCTCCTTGTTTAATGACACATAATACTTATACTATCATTAAGGTCTGCAGATGAATCAAGAACATCACTCTGAACATATTGAAATAATTCTATAGTATGTATTTCGATTTTAATGACCAGGTTTATACAACCAATGAAATAGAAGTATCTTGCTAGGATGGTGATTTCATTAAAGGGGGAGAGGCAAAATTGTGTCCGATGTACACACTGAACTTCCAAGTGTGATTAAATAACATAGGGGGACGACTTTTCACTTGATAAAATTTAAGTTAAGAATAGGTGAATAATATTGAAGGCTAGAGAGTTCATCGAATGAACCTTTAGCCAATCAGAAAGATAGAGATATGTCTAGATATCTCACTCGAAGTCCATGGTCCATTGAGTGCTGCATGTTTTAACATTTTTCTCGTCCAATCAAACATCGGGTCAGACCCCATAGAGGCCACTTTGCAAATAAACATTTTCATCTGCCTTAATCGTGTGGACGAACGTTGGATTTAATCGTATATTTGGTTAGCTGAAGTTGGAATTCTTTATGGATAATTAAAATTTATTGATCCATATTACACCAAGGATATTTGCTGTTGTGTATAACCATGTTGTGAGTTAAAACGCTCAAATTATTCAGACATTTATTACCAATGTTTATAACGTTTTTATGCCAGAACACTTAGTTCTACGGATTATTGTTTACATAGCCGGTTAATCTATTTTCTGGAACGAACTTTTGATTTACATAAGATTTTTTGATGAATATTTTTTGTCTTAAATAACTTACTGAGAACAATCAATTTGGCAAGTAATCCATTTTTGGTTAATTACACCTAATAACGATTCTTTGACACTGAAGATTCATACTTCGCTGAATATATTAGAACAAATTTTGTCGTTCTTGTGTGAAAGGGTAAATATATATGTCATGCTTAGTTAATAGAATCCAGTATGTCAACATAGGGGACCTAGGGAAACTAAAGGACGAATATTGCTTTCTTTTTCCAACTTCTATTAAGCAGAATACTTTTATTTCTTTAAGAAATAGGTTCGAAATGATACAGATAGCTTTGGAATGCTCACAAACTACCAAGAATATGGAATTTACTGAAATTGCTTATATTACCTAAGACTACAAATATTGGTACTGGTTGTTTAGAATGCTTTAGCTCAGCCGTGGGATTCGATAAACAAGTACACATCCATTAATTCGATGTATAATAATTGCGACTGATAAGTACAGCTAAGTAATCTAAACAGAAGAGGACGCTTCATACATCGTCCAGGATTTTTGAGGAGGATTGTTGTCAGACTTAGTCGACGGTTGTCTGTGTCGATCGACTAGAGTATTTGCACTTAATTTGCCTCTTAATTTGGGTTGCATATGTATAAAAGTTTTAGTAAGAACTCTGGTACATAGACTTCGATTTGATTGTGTACGACACTAACCTCGTCACAATTATCACTAGATCAGTAAATCAAAAGTAGATCTAGGGTGCTATTTATAGGATCAATTGAGAAAAGATTGACCTTCCATGACCAACATGTTCACGTCGTATTGCCCACTTCTTGATGCTTTTTGTAAAAAAGGACTTGATGAGAATCAGACGGGTAAAGAATCCTCTATAGTGACTGTATAACATTAAGCTTTGGAATCAATCAGTTAGTCGTTTTGTCACTGAAACAAATTTTTGTGAAATGGTATTATAATTGCAGTGGTTCGAAATCTTTAATTGTATGAAGAAGTCAATACTCAGTAAGCAAATTGTCACTTCTGAGATATATTTTTAGTTAGTTGGTCGTTTGCATATCAAGAAATAATTACTGCACATTTCATGATAGTTTAAGTTTAGTCTTGCAACACAAGGCATGTCCTTATACACTTTCTAATCTTAGATTGAAATGTATAAAGAGATCTGGAATTTAAATATATTTGACTATGGCCAACTGTTTGACCAACTATTTAGTCACAGCGTAAAACCTGGTACGTATGTACATGCTTCATTAGGGCATATGAAATTTGTTTTCCAACCAAACATCTATTTCTTGGCTTTATTTAAAGTCTGATTTCTGTATTGTACCGTGTTTTTGTAGAAAGGTTAGTTTAGTATGATTGAGACATTTTGCTTGGCTTGATATCAAATTTTCATGCTTTGGTAGTTCGATTAATTATGATAAATCATCTTCATTTCGTAATTATTTGTGCTTGCGTTCATACCCTACTTTTAGTCTGTTATGACCGAACCATTTAGTGAATCTAAATTCTATCCACCCGTGTCTGTTTACTAGCCATCGTTTATAAATTTAGATTTTGAATCCTTTACATGGGCTATTTTGTGCTTCAATCCTAGTGAAATAGTAAGGTTTGTTTGATATTAGATTGTTAGTTTATTATAAGGAATAGTTAGGAAACCTTACACCTGTTTTTTTGTCGAACTATACTCATTAAGCAGGTATATGTACAGTCTTAAAGAAATGAATAATCGTTCGGTTCTTAATTCATGTTACCTAGAACCGGGATTACAGACATACTATTAACCTGCTTAGGCATCATTAATCCTAAGAGGCAGATAACATAACATCAGTTTCTTTTAAGTGACAGATTAGTGTACATAATGTATGATGCTCTTATAATCGAAGTTAATAAAATGTTATTTCCAGTCAGTAATTCTAATACTATGCATCCTAAGTAAAAATTCAAGTTGTAACTGTGTTTTTATTTTTACCTGAACTTGTTGGAAGTGAAAAACTTTGTTCAAAGATAATGAGTTCTGACTATTCTTGTGTTGTTATCATTAATATATTTATGAAATGTTCATCCTGTAGTTAACGATTCCAGTAACTGTACATGATTTTTCTCCGTCCACTTTTTCTGGAAAGGCATTCTCCACTTTCAAATCCTTTTCCAAACAATTGTTCTTCGACTACCACATCAAAATGTAACGAATGTTTTAAACCAGATCTCACTGTTTTGCAGTCCGCGATACCATTCCTTACAAAGCCATTACTAGCGATTGCAAGCTTCTCTAATACAAATGATATTCCAGGGTCTACGACCACATCATTTTCTATCCAACCAGTATCACGAGTGCAAGCTCATCAGCAAAATTTAACATTCGGAAATGTAAACAGTCCTAACTTATCAGGATCGTCTTCATTATCATCATCTTTAGTTTCTCTACATTCCGCCCCCAACAGTTGTGTAACTAATCAACAAATTTCGACATCTCCCGTATCTGTACACTCAAACCATGTTTCCTCTGGCTCCAGAGACTCACGGTGGCTTAAGCTGCGTGTGTGTACATCAGTTTTGGAAATATCTAGCTCACCTTTGCAAAATAAAATCAGATCTGAAAAAGAGCCTATGGACATTGAAAATAAATGTTCTATAAAGTTGGAAGACACTAGTACAAAAAATGAGTGCTCATCTACTACAAGCTGTCAAAATGAAAATGAATCAAGCTTTCATTGCTGTGTTTTTGGAAGTACATGTCCTTACGCCCACCCACCTGTAACTGTCCGAGTAGAAAATGGCTATGTAACAGTATGTTACGACTTCATTAAAGTGAGTGTGCCCGTACTGTTCGGTCATACAATGTTTCATTTTTGGTTGTACACTTGTATTGTTTTTGTAGTGTTTAGCCACCAGTTGTGTTGTGTTTCGAGTGATTTGTTGTGATCTTGAAGTTATTTATCGAAACTGAATAAAAGCCGACCTGGAGAAGCTAAATGTCCCACAGGCGATTAAATCACTGGAATTCTTTGACATGGTATGTGGAATATATATATTGCTCATACTATGTAGTCGTTAAAAGTACTTATTGGCCCCAAAATGCCCTGGTATGGCCGAGAGCGGGGAGGGTTCGCCCTGAGACGATTGACTGTTACGACGTAACTTTCTGAGAAGACTGAGCATGAAGTGGCAAAAGTTCTTCAGTAAAGGGATTTCTTTGTTTACTGTGGAGAATTAGGGGGCTGTTCAATCGGTTTTAATCAGTTAAGCAGTGTCTGGTGGTCCGAATAATTTGGTTGTTTGTTTAAGGAATTATTTCAATGAACCATTGGTGATCTGCTTCCGAATGTACTGGAAGGGTTTTCTATTCGGTTTACTCTTATTTGGTTAGCGAAACGTATTGTTAGACATCATGTATCACTTGTCACTACACTTTTTGTTGGAATTATTTGTGTGGGCTATGTAAATTTAATTATCGATTCCATGGGACTTGAGTTGTGTATATAGCTATTATCAATAGATATATTTGGATGGTGTTTATGGTTATGTAACCAGTCAATTTGACTGTAATGTCTTCTTGAATCTTTCTTACTGTTACATTTTGTATGTACACATATATCCTAACTTGTACATTGGTATTCTAGGCGGGGTTTCATATTATAGTGTATTAATCGAGCTATGTCGGATTTTTTGAGATTTTGCCGTGATAGGTAGGTCGGTTGGAGAGTGGCCAGACCAGAAGCAACAAATGTACGGTCCGATATCAAAGATTTGCTGCCTACAGTACTGGGATATGGGATAAGTAGAATATTTTTTTCCACAGATAACCAGCACCTCTGACGATTCACTTTTCTCACAACGAGATGAGGTGGAAATCTTTCTTCAAGATGCACATTCAGACGCCCCACAATCGTAGTGTTTCTCGACCTTAAAGCAGAATTCGACTCTGTTGATCGTGTGGTTCTATGACAGTGTTTGTCACTGAAAGGAGTACCAAAGAAGTTCAGTAACCTAATATAGGCTCTCTACTCGAACACAACTGGCCGAGTGAGAGCTTATGGCGAACTGTCATCAGAATTGATTATCTCAAGTGGTGTTCGTCAGGGTTGTCCACTCTCTCCATTCTTGTTTAATTTTGTCGTTGACGTGCTTTTAGAGATGACACTTTCCTCATCTGAATTTCCAGGGGTTGAACTTTTACTGGGAGATTCACTTTTTGACTTAGAATATGCCGATGACATAGTTCTATTTAGTGAAGACGCTGACAAAATGCAGAGTCTTCTGACTACTCTAAGCATGTTCGGGATGCGATTCTCTCCCTCGAAATGCAAAGTGTTGCTTCAGGATTGGATTGCATCGACACCCGAGCTAATGTTAGGGAGTGTAGTTGAGCGTGTCTACCGCTTCACTTATCTGGGAAGTCTCATCAATCCTTGTGTTCTGGTGTGTGACGAAATCTCAGCACGGATACAGAAGGCTCGACTAGCTTTTGCCAACTTGCGTCATTTGTGGCGTAGGCGAGATATCCGTCTATCAACCAAAGAATGTGTTTTACTGCGCAGCAGTTCTTTCCATCCTACCTTATGGCAGTGAAACATGGCCAGTAAGAGTAGAGGATATTCTCAGGTTATTAGTATTCGACCATAGATGTCTCCGAAACATTGCTCGTATATCCTTGGATCACCGAGTAAGTAATGCAGTTGTTAGAAAACGGGCACTAGGTAAGGATGGCAAATCAATTGATGAAGTAGTGAAACTTAATCAGTTGAGATGGCTGGGACATGTGCTGCGCATGCCCGACCACCGACTGCTTCGACGTGCTATGTTTTATGGTGTAGGAGTATGTTGGAAGAAAGCTAGGGGTGGCCAAACCAAAATGTGGTACAAATCCATGAAGTCACTGACAAGTGGACTGAGCCATGTTGGTAGGTGCAGACTACTTGGTTGGGGGCCGCGAAATTATAGCAACCGATGGTTAGAGACCTTCAATGACATGGCTCAAAATCGTTTGAATGGCGCAGGTGCATCCACTCTTCGTGCTCTCCCAAATTCTAATCTTCTGAATTCATGTGCTTTTTTTCAAATTTATTTCACTGGATTATACTCCTTGAATAACATCTTCAAACCCTAATGTTTCCGATAACTGCTTATACCCTTACTACCTCTACCACTATGGGATTTGAGTCGACAACTGCATCTCTGTGCTAATGTGGTATGGCAACTCGAATTGATGTACGTACGTACGAAGTTCCGCGTTGTTACTGACTGACTGACCCTATACGATTTCTGGTGCCATAAGGTCTAACAAGCACTGAGATAGTACCCCTAAAACTATTCGCAAATAGATCGTGTGTGGACGGCCTTCAACAGCTGTCTTTGGGTTAACTTTTTTCAGGTTCTCCAAAAAAGTATTTTGCCACAGCGTGAACAATCAGGAAGTTACAAGTGACATACCTTTTATAGCGCTCATCATATGTGTTTGTCAATCCACATTGGTATTTAATGTGTACCATTTTGTAATTTGTTCACAAAGTCTTTAATTGTTTGTTTTAGAGGAAACTCTGCAAGTTTTCTCACTGTAAGTATTATCACCCCCCTCCACACCAAATCGAAGCTATTATTAAACGTGGCGATGAACAAAGGAAACTATTGGAAAATCAACAACGTTTGTCTGAGTTAAGAGTAAGTTAACTGATAATAATTTGTTTGGACCAGAGACTTTTCGTACTCGTCGGTTTGAAAAAATGTTTATTTCGTATAAATTTCTTGGTTTACCGTCTATGGTGGTATATCCACAAAAATGTTTCTAACTGATCTGCTGATTTGTGCAGACCTCCAGTGATAATACTTCAACATGCGATACAATCAAACTGTACGCTAAAACTATTGATATCCGGGTTCTTTGTAGTTTTAATTGAGATCATGAACCAATCAACGTTAGACTACCATTGAAAATCTGGAGACAGTGAACGGCCATTTCCTCCCATTGTGGGACTCAGCAATGCACATCCACGGTCCCTTACGTGGGACTCGGACCCAGGACCTTTGGTCTTTCGCGAACACAACCAGTAGGTCACTGAGCCGCAATCCAACGGAGTTAATATCCAATGTCTTTGTGGTCCCGTGTGAATTTAAGACCCATCTACTTACCAAATAAATACTTTTTAATTTACTTCACATTTATGGTTGTTCATTATTTTGACATTGGTTCTCTTGAAAATATTGCATGATATAGCGTGTATATTCACTTAAGCTGGTTGGTCTATCGCTCCGTTCCTTCTCTTAGTATTTTTGATGTTTCCTGATTCACATCTTTATTTTGAGTGAGCAGTACCAGTTTGACCTTAAATGATAGATGATTCATTGACATATATGGTAGATTAACTACCTGTCTATCGGTTCGGATCCAACCCATACAAGCACCCCTGTTTATTTATTCATATTATTTCTGTTGATTTTGTGTGTGCGTATCGACACTTATGTGTTGTGTGTATATTAGAAGTGCATAACTATTAACCAGGTTCTGTGTTTTTTTTTATGTGCTAGTGTACTAACGTCAACAGTCATGATACAATAATATTATTATTGTATGAACCAATAGTTATTTTATCGCATTCAGTACTGAAATCGTAATATTTTTGTGTGGGTGCGCAACATATATTCGTGTGTGTATACTGACATCTTAATAATATTTTCAACTCATCTCTATTTGCCATAAACTAAACTATATTTTACTTCTAATGATATGGTAACTTCATAATCTGTTTTACAATAGCTATCTGTGCCACTGCTGTCAACTTAGACCGTTGGGTAGTATTTTTAAAAAGTGAATTATCTGGTCATTCGGAATATCTTTAAATTTTGTCAGTGTATCAATGGACAGTTAAATATGAAATTTTCAATCCTAAACATTTGATCAGATTTATTTTGTACTATCCTAATTAGACTTCCAATCTCATTTCAATGCAACCGTTGCAACAGACGCTACCGACTGGTTTACCCATTCTCAGTTCGGTAGCTAGTTGCCCCTCAAGCCTTAGATGGCCGCCTACTACATTACTTCAGTCAACTGTTGGGGGATCAGTTTATGGAACATATTTAACTCCTCTAAATTCTGTACCTGATCCGGCATCTCTTAGTGCATCAGCGTTATTAGCAGCGGCAGCTGTCCTACAACAGGCAAATCAAGCTGCTGGTGTGTTATCAACATCATCTACACTATCTTCATGCTCAATATTTCCTCATGATTCGGTTATTTCAAAGTCAACAATCAATAATGATACATCCCCTTCAGTTACTTCTGAGGTGAGTCACAATTTTAGCACTGATACGTCATAATGGCTTATAGATGTTCATATTTGTATTGATATATGTTATTTGCTCGTATTCCTTGATGTTGCTTCGGTTTGATTCATTGTTAACATGTGTTTAGTGTTGTAACAGCTTGAAAACTAAAGCATTTGCATTTTGCTCGCATATTTAGTTGTTTATTTGTTTTAAGGGTGGATTCTGGGATCATTGTTATCAAAAATTATGGTGAATGTATAAACACACACTACAATTTATTGTTTTCAAGTAGTTTCTTGTTCAGTAACCGTTTTTTTTTCTATCTTAAACTTTGAGATTAGTTAGTGGATAGTCATGTTAAATTAAATTGCATTATAGAGGGAAAGAGACTTTGTTAGAGAGAAAAATCCTCAAAAATGAATTTTTAAATGTTCATATATTTGTGGGAAAAGAATTTTGATTTGTAAGATAACCGGCTCCTCAAGAGTAAGGTGTGACACATTTCTGTTTATTGATGTGGAAGGAAATAGTCTAAATGTACTTCCTATAATGTAGCCAGTAACTGTAAAATTTGTAGTATACCATTTCACTCATTGCTTGATTTTTTAGAGTTATGTATACCAGTTGTATCATTCATTATCGAAGACTAACTTTGACTCGGACACGTCTAGGATTTTCAATACTTGTTCTATGCTCTATCACAGGTGAAGAATAACTTCAAAAACTTAGTTCTCTTTAACAAACCTGGTTTATATGCACTGCTTCAGAATAAATTTCATTTACTTCTTGCCTTTGTAACATTACATCTGTGACTAGTATTTGATTTTTTCTTTAATAGAGGGTGATTTATTATTGTAAATCTGAGATTAAAAAACATTTAATCAGGCGTAGCATTTGTAAATTGAATGATGTATTAATTTAGTAGCAGACCAGCAAAAGTTTTTAAGTTCTAATTGAGATTAAGTATTATACATGGTGAAGTTTGTAGTTTAACTTCACACATGAGCGTAGTATATACTTGTGTTTTAGGCTTTATTTCATGGTCTTGACTTACTGAAATTGTGTGGTCAGAGTGAAACTTATGTTTCATTGCGTCGTAGCATTAAACTAGTCGCTACATGTTAAGGGTTAAGATATTCCTCTCATGGTGATTTTGATGGTTAGGTAGATAATTACTTTCTCCCCCTCTAACCTTCAGTCAAATTCGGAATACCAGGCTATCACGGAGCAGGCAACTTGTTAAATAATACTCTGATTGAATCGATACATTCGGTAAACCCATTAAGTACAGTAAAGCAGCAGCTTTTGTTTATTCATCCTGTATATATTTTCTAAAGACTTCAGATATTGCATTGTATTCCTTAATGTTTTAAACTCATGTGGTTACAAATTAAGAGCTTAATAATAGCAGCGATTTAACAGGCTATCTGCATGAATGAATAAAAGTGTCTGCTGAACATCTTAACAAAGAAACTACTTTTTGCTGTCATAATTTGAATATAATAATCATATACAATCAGTCATTGGACACATTTTAATCGTTGTGTTGCACTAATATACATGACATAAACCGCTAGTTATCTCCATCCACTTATTCCAGATGGTTCATTATGACCTCACTACTTCTATATTAGATCAATATTACTTTGGATTTTTTGATACTAACCGATATTTTATAACGTGGGTAAAGTAATCATTATATATATAGTTTAGCTTTGGTCATTTTTTAATCTTTTAATTACTTGATTGTTTACCAGTATTTTCGTGGCTCTTATTTTTCCACTTTCTTGATTTGACTTTCACTCCTTCCTTACTCTCACGACATATATATATATATGTATTCATCTCTGGTGACGCTTGGTTGCTTACTCATGGGCGCTGGTTCTACGTGTGTGCGCATATGAGCTGCTCGTTTTTTGTTGCGCTTAATTCCACACTATCTCAGTCAAAATTCTTAAGCTTTAATAATTGCAATGCTGTAACATGTTTGGCGAATCCGATGTCAAATCGTCAAATACAACAATACCAATCTGTTCAACAGCAGCAACCCAAAGCTGCTAATCTCCCATCAGCTGTAGCTGCATTCATTCCTACTACGTCTGTCGATAATTATGTTTCTTCAATTGTAACAAGTAATTCTGAAGTTGCCAGTAATACTGCTGCTAATCCCTTCACCTCACTTATTCGTGCCGGTATGAAACGTGAGGCTAATATTGCTTCTGGAAGTTTTGAAAATGACTTGGAAATGCATGTGGGTGGTTCACTTTTTAAATTTTTAGTTACCGTTTTTGCTCGTTGGCTTTGCTTTAAAATTGATGCGCTTGAGTTTTTGTGTTCAACTTAATTGTTGTTCCTTGTTTCATTATATGTTGTCCTGATTAACGTTTTTTGGCTTCATAGTGCTTTATTTTAATTATAGTGTATAACATACGTATACTTTATAAAGTTTTAACTCCAATTACACGGTTATTTTCGCTAGCCCTAGCAACGATTTTTTGTTGCAGCATGTTGGCATGCTTTATTTTTTAAAGAAAGTATGTTTCCTACAGACTCGTTGGACAGATTGTTTAATATTCCATTGGATTTCTAACTATGGTGCAAAGTTATGATTTATTCTGATTCCTTTGGACCAATATAATTTTCTAGTTTCTATGCGGTTAAACGATGCTGTTATTAGTTTGCATTTTCCCAAACTTTGTAATTTATCAATTTTTTAGACTGTAAAAACAAACTCACGGGTTTTATCCTGAAGGTTCAAGCCATACAAAGAGGTAAAATACTACTACACACTGACGCGCATTTCATACGGTAATCACGGACAGTCCCGAACATCCATTTGTCGGATGGTGAAAAAATAAAAAAAGTAGGATGGATACAAATTTAGATCAATACTAACAAAATACTGTTATTATTGGTGCTAGTTTGAGTGACAAAGTATATTTAGTCTTCTGTGTATCCATATTTTCACACTAGTAGTTTTGAATTAAAATTTCGGACTGATTAGATGATACCCAAATAGCTTGTAATTAGTATCTTAAAATGTAGTCTATCAATAATCGCAATTTCCCTTTATTATGGAGGATGATTAACATAGAATAACTATTCAAAGCTTTACAATATCTTTTTACACCATTTACTTATATGTTGACATTCTTCAGTTGTGTATGCATTTTCGTTTTTTATCGAATTTGCAACCATAATAATATCCGTTTACACATGAAATTATAGTACTTAACTGGATTTTTTATGCTCCACTACAGTCTGATGGTAATTGATATAACCTTAACATTTTAGAATCTTATCATCGTTTAATTTATCAGTTTTAAAAAATGTCTATATTTATAACACATGGATAACTTGAGTGTTTACCCACCTATTTTATCTTCGTCTGTGCGCATATGAAGTTATGTGCGTATTTTATACGTGAATGTTATAGTTGCCATACTTCTGATAACTTGATGAGTATTTGAGTAAAATAACTGCAAGTATTTCATTTAACTTCTACCAAAGTTTATCTTACATATAAAACACATCTGTTATTTTATCTTGCTTTTCTACAACCCTCCATTTTATTGATCAGTCTGAAAGAAAACCATCTCCCAGTAATAAAGTATTGAAAATACATTTTGTGCTTATTATCATAAGTACCGGAAAATGAGCATCCTCCAATGTTAACGTTTATCTAGGATTTATTTGACCTAGATAACCGGGAAACCGTTTTTGTTTATCGATAAAACAAAATTTACTAGTTCACCACTTAAAACCACAAAATGTTTCCCTTTATTCAGTTTGTACAATAAAAGGCTATACAGATAATATATACAATTTAGGAGGATCATCGACTGCTCCCATGCCTATCTTCAAAGCTTTATTAAACACCAGATAGCAAAATGAATTATTTATAATTAACACGAAAAGAGTTAAACAAATATTTCGTGTACTGATTCCAGTAATAGAGATTATTAGTTTCATACAGCTAGTGAACAATCTTATCATTCTATTAGATAATTGAGCAAAGAATTTCATTGATGGGTTATGTCTCCACTACTTTGAAGATACTTTTTTCTCCTGAAACTCATGTCAAAACTTGGGACCATTCATTACTATACAGGTGTTTACGATTCCATACGTTGTATACATACTGGACTCCAAGGTTGCGAAACTTAATGAAGTCAGCCATTTGATTCTTTAGCTATGTACTTACTGTTTATGTATTCATCCTTTTAAGTGTTACAACGTCTTGATAGTCAAGTTGTTTGACTTCCAACCGCTAAATCCCCAGGTTCGAGTTACGCTCTTTCTACCTCTTTAGGCGAACGCGTTGTATCACTAATACCCATAGAAAGTGTAACTCAAAGCCCTGAGTATACGAATCTGTGTTTAGAAAAAATGAACTAAATTATCAATCTTTCAAAGTGAACAGTTTATTCATGAATTCACAGACATCAACTACTATGCAACTTATTATTGGTATGAATTTGTCAATGACATTTTTATTGTACTGTATTTTTGAACGTTATTTTATTTCTAAGTATGAATACTTTTTTCAATGCAATAGAAATGGTTACCTACAAAACGAGCAAATTTGTCTACCTCATCTTCATTAGACGGAACAAGTCAAAATAAAGAATCAAATGTCTTATGTAATGGTGACGAAAAACTGGAAAGGTCTTGCCAAAATGGTGAAACAAAATATCATATACCTGATTCTGGGACTTCGTTTCCTGCTATTTTCACTTGTGCGTCTTTCAATCCTGGGTTTACCCCGATAAATTCTTGTACAGATATAGGACCATCTCATGTTAATCCTGAGGTAACGAATATGCTAACTCCGTTGAGTATGAGTATTTATGGTCTTCCGTTTTCTTCACAACCTGCTGCATCACTTTACACTCCATCACAATTCATATATCCACCGTTATATTCCATGAACAATAGTTGTGATGTGCCTAATCCAATGACTTCAGCAGCTGCAGCATTAGCGCTAAATAACTTTTTAATACAACAGCAACAACAACAACAACTGCAGTCTCATCAATTGTTACGAACTCAGTTGTCGACAGTATCGAATCAGCAGTTACCTGGGTCTGGCTTGTATTCATCATATGTACCATCTTCCACCTTAGCGACAGCCACAGCTTTAGCAGCAGCCCATCAACCTCCAGCTCATGATGTTCATACAAATGCTTCGAACAATACTTTTCAACACCAGCAACAAGCTCTGTTGTTGTCACTTATTCTTCGAAGTCAACAAACTAATCTGGCTGCTGCACAAGTGGCGGCAGCGGGCTATTTGTCACAAAACGACGCTTCACGATTACCACCGATCCCTAATCTTCAAAATCATGGCTGCGTTTTGGATTCATCATGTATGTTATACCACATTTCTTATCTGATTAATTATTTTAATACTAACCAACCATTTATGTATAGATATGCTAGTTCCTACTTTTGACGTGTATATTGTACATCATACCGTACATACATAGACTTTTCGTTGTTTCCAGTTGAGAAAATCCTATAACGGCTTCGCCCATGATTTAAGTTACTTTTGTAGGTTTCTTTACTTATTACTTTAATATGAAATAATCGTATTGTATGTTTTCATCTTATAATGATCTAGCAGTATTTTAGCTATAGTCCATCATGTTTGTGTGCTACTAAAATATACAAGCTAGGCAGTTCTCGTAGGCCTGGCACACTTATGTAAGATCTAATTTAAAAGATGCAAATGTTTGGCCGATACTAATTAAAGCACCGTTTGACCGGGAAATCTGTTTATGTGATGTAATCGTATAAGTTTTAAATGCTTTAATGAACCACTGTATACCCCATTGTTTTGAAATCAGGGTTTTCCAAACCCCTTAGGTGGATCCTTTATATCCATCAACCTGGTTAGAGCGCCGGACATTCACTTTTCATCCTTAAATTTTCTTAAATAACACTCCGGTCGCGAGAAGGTAGTGGGTAAGACTTCCCTGGTTGGTATATGCGTGGCCATGTGAAGAGCATTTCGAGAGGGAGAACTAACTCCCCACCCTCGGCCGTACCAGGGCATTATCTTATTATGTAGTATCCAGTTAAGCTACCATGCTGCTGAGTATTTCTAAGCTCATCACAAATTACCAAAAATATCTGTCAAATGATGGCTTTTAGTATGTATCGTTACGGAGTTTGCTTGGAATTATTGTTATTGATATAATAGTGTCTTTTCCTGAACACTTTTTGAGTGTTATATCAAACAAACATATTTTTCTTAAGTCTCTTGTTTACCCACATTTTTTAATGCTTTAAAGTATGCCAAATAACTGCTCTCTTTCGTTTTGACGTGTACTAAAATATAACAGTATAAATTGTAGGTAAAAAGTACCTTGAATAGTTATGAAGATGAACTTGATCAAAATATCCTTCGTAATACTGTAGTATCGAAATCGATAAAAATTAAAAATGATTGACTTATGACTATTTGAAAAACACAGTAATTCAACCTAGTCATATATTTCAGATAATATTGTGTATTTATAGACAGTTGACTATATAGGTTATAACTAATTGATCGAGCATTTTTCTATAGCTCGTATCTATTCATTTCGAATGTATACACGCTCTATGATATTATTTCATGTTTTTTGTATGTACAATAGCTATTTACATTCTAGTCTGAATGTTAGATATTTTGCAGTCATTTACAATCCAAATGACCCGGTTAGTTTGAATGCCTTTATTTTCATTTACACAAATACTGAATATTGTACATGGTCATTTGGTTAGGTTCAATCCCTAATTTAATCATTATATCTGTTTTGATTAATATATTATCATCCTTTCGATGAGTTTTTATATTTAACAATACTTATCGACTAGTATTCAAAGTACTTGCTCAATATTTATATTTCAGGTCCGGTTCCAGGTGCATTAGGACATCTATCGTCTGGACTATATGGAACCAGCTTTTGTACACAGAATCCAATGACCAATGTGGCTTACATTAATGAAAAAGGCCATGTAAGCGTATCTTCTTCCATTTATATTCTTACATGAGCTTTCAATTTAGACTAAATTAATAGTGAAGTCAATCGACGCGCACATAGTGTCTAAAACGATCTGTAGTGGTTTTAGGTAGACGTATTTCATTTAGGTTGGTGAAATTTATAACCGTATTATACAATGTGGTTTACTTGTTATATGCTCATATGTATCAATCAAACTTAGTATGTCTTAAGTATTTAAGGGGCCAAAATATAAGGTGACACATATGTGTAAGTTTAGTCGAATAATATTCAACTACGAAATCTTAAAAAGTGAACTTTGCGTTTGTAAATGTAAATGGTTAAGCAGATGAACCACGGTTTTATGTTTTTAGTATAGGAAATATACTTTTAAGATGGAAGCGTAGTTACTAAACTGATTTTATGAGAAACTTCAAATAATATTCAGATTAAATGAGTAGCATATCATTTGCAGTAAATTTTGTATACTGTTGATTATATAAAAATATGTGGTTATTAGGTTGTATTTCATTCTCATACAACCTTTAAAATGAACTATTCAGCTTAGTTTCTAGCCTATGTATTGTCGTATAGTGTCTTTAAATCAAAGGATGGAATATGTACTGTTTTTCTTCAGTGAAGGTAAGATGATTTGTTGTTTTGTACTCTGGTTTCATGTACAATTAAAAAAATATTCTCTAAATTGATTTCAGTTGTTGGAAACGTTACCAATATGTCGTGATTTTAAAGCTGGCAAATGTCGTCGTAACTCAGAATGCCGTTACGTCCATCTAGTTGACGGTAAGTAAAGTGTTTTATAGAAGTTTCTTATATATATAACGTGAATTCTGTAGTTTTTTTTACCATAACTAAGTCTAGCTGTGCTTCACTTTTTCATCTCGACATTATGGATACTACACCACTTTGGATTCTTAAGTAGAAGTCATTTCCCGGACAGAAACTTAAGGTATTCACTTTCAGACTCACTACTAATGTGTCGAGATTGCGTGATTGCAAAGTTTGCTTTCGCTCTATTCACATTGATTTTCGCTCCTTTAACATAAAGTGTGATTGATTATAATGAACTAACATTACTATTTTTCCCTAACTTAATAGAAAATGTGGAAGTTAATCAAGGACGTGTGACTGTATGTCGCGATGCTGCTAAAGGTCGATGCACACGTATACCATGTAAGTATTACCACATTCCTTTGTTCGCCATTTCGGCTAATCGAAGTATGGCATTGAATTCCGCTCTGGCCAGTGTCACAGGATTTCCTACTATCTCCACACTTTAGAATTAAACCAGTAATACCTCCTGGAAAATATTTATCTCTACCAAATCTCAGAAGATGATTAGGTGTTTTTTATTTTAAGGATAGATATATATTTATATAAAACTGTCCACCACATGAATTTTGATTTCTACTTTGCCTGAAAAATAGATATCTTCTACTAATTTCATCTTTTGAATTTATCTCTTATTTTTGTTTTGGCCAATGTTTTATACTGATGTTTATTCAATAATCGAATGTCTTCCTCTAGGATTTATAAGAACCAAAACTGAAATGCCTTTAAATGGTTTGTTTGCCGTCAATCATGTTTCCTCAACATTATTTTCTTTTAATTTGTCTCGTCCCAAAATTTATTCAGTATTTCGATCTTTTCTTTTACTTTTATCAATCATTCGGTTACAGGAATTAACTGTTCATTTTGTATAAAATATTAAAAAATGGAAGATGAATAAAAAATGTCATACGCTTTCTTTTATTTCAGTTACTGTATGATTTTTTACTGTTAAATGTTTGACAACCTTGAAGAACTTTTACCAAGACGTAGACATGTCTTTTCGTACACTTGAAGTGATAATAATAATACTAACAGGAGTTGATTTAATTTTAAGTTAGTTTCAATTTAATAAGTTGACAGTGAGATGCTGATTTAATTTTGTTTTTTTCTGTCTGTATGTTTCAAAATCAACCGATATTCGCTTCATGATCTTGTTCACTGACTTTTTTGTTGGAAAATATTTCTATATTATTCATTTCTCTCAATATATATAAACATTTACAATTTAGATTCGAAACTTCTTGATATACTTGTTATTAAAATAATCAATACGAAAATTATTACTATAATTATGATACATACAATGTTTCGTTTTTATGGTTTCTAGTACGATAATATTACTTTTTATGTAGTTAGTTCGTGATCATATTTTTAATTGTGAGTTATAATCACTTATTGTGTAAGTAGTCCAAGCGCTGTATGTGCACATACTATTGGTATAATTATTAACGTTATGAGTAAAAGCAATCTGTGGCGGTTTGTTTAAATGTTTCTGAATAATATTAATTAAATAATAATGGGGAAAGATCTACTCATCTTCAATGTTTAGTGTATTTACATAGATTTTACATCGTATGATCAAAAGCATTGTTTTCTTGGTTGGTAAAGAGAAACTCTGAAGAGTAAATGTAAATTCAGAGAAGACATATCCTTTAGTGAATCATAGTTCTATGTGAATCACGAGCTGCAAATATTAACCAATATCGATAAACGTAATTATTTCTTACACTTGTAATATTTAATATACAATTTGTCCCACTAGATAGGCTGTAATCGAGAATATTTGTGATAGTATTTTGCCTTGGATGACATTCAGAGAAAAATGTGAAAAGCCTTAAAAGGTAGTTTGGTAATAAGCACAACAACAGTAGGAACATCCCCACAAGGTTATTATAGTATAATCCCTAATTAAATATTTTTACAAGGAACAAAAGATGATGACTATGAGATGGCGGAGATTTGTAGCTTAGGTGGGTGATTTTGATGAGGTTTTGTCTTCTCAGCTGGATGGTTTAGTCGTGAAGCTTTTATCGTTCTTCTGAACGATATCATCAGCTCAAACTTCAGGTGGAAGGAAGTATTCGAATTTTTCCACACGTGGTGACTAGTTTGTGAACATTCATGGAAAGTGTAGGATTAGAGGAATTGACGCCCTAAATATTATGCATGTCAGAAAGTTTGCATAGTTCTCTCAGAACATCAATTTCATGTTACACTCAACGCACGCAGTACTATCACCGCCTGAAATCAAAAACGTTATCAATGCTTCTTACCGCTGTGCATAATCAAATTTCAGAGGGTCAATGCACACGAAGAAATTTGGATAACATACCAAAAACAGAAATCCCAACTGTATTGGATGGCTTTACGACCATGGTACTACTGTTAGTCTTCAATCTAGCCGAACTACTTATAAGTAAGCAAAACTATGCAAGGGAAGTATACAGATGAAAAACGATATTGGGCTGTGACCGAAATCAGCATCATTGTAAATTACTTGTCATCAAAAATAATTTACACATCGGTCCTATTGCTTTCTCATATTGATATAAAACTCAATATAAATTTTATTCTATTTCGATTCCCGACCGTTGTTGCTACCTTGACGTGGTCAACTCACAATGACTGACTGGTTCGTTGAGAAGGATTAATCTCCAGTTACCCAAATGTTAGCATAGCAGATATTGAGACAGGTGGAGCACATAGATGTCGTAGTGAATGTGAAACCTAAAGTAAGATACAAAACAGTAGCTTCGCCATTGGTGAAAGAATTATTATGTCCGTAAAATCATACCAGCGGTGAGAGAGGAAACGATTCAAAACTGATGGTTTCTGGGGCCGAAAACGCCATGGTCAAACCACCCAGCAATCGGACTACTGAATGTCGGACAGTTCACCTATTCTCGTCAAGGGCAAGAACAACCGACGCGCATTAGTTAGTTGCACACCATAGACAGGTCCATACTATGATACGTGACTGACGTTAGCTGGTTGTTCACATCGTTCCCGTCTAACTGGAGTATGCCCCCAGTCATTCGATACAAAACATTTGCGTTGGCGATTTGCACGGTCATATTCTGGGCCGTTGTTGCTACCTTGACGTGGTGGTCGGGCTTGCCTATCGTGATGAAGCAACTGAGCTATACTTGCTAGAACAACCGTTCCTCAAGGTCCTATCATGCCAGACAGGTCGATTGAAGAGCGGTAAGACTAAAAGCAACAAAACCAAGGTCCGAAGGCGAAGTCGTACCGCTGACTGTACAGAGGTGTGACAGCAGTAAGGTGTTTCCTTCAGACAACCAGCATGACAGCGATGCTGCCTCCCCACAAGGAGGGGTGGGGTTAGAAAAGGTCGACCCTAAAATTGCACACCTCGCCTTATCCCACGGATATCCGTCTCCGGCGGTAAGGACTCAACAAGTACGGAGCTAACACAAAAATCACTCATAAAAAGGTCGTGTGTGACCGACCTCAAGCAGCTGTCCCTTGGGCACTGCGGTCACGCTCTCAGGTCACTATGACCAACTCTAATCCAATTTCCTTTTCAGGTACCTCCAGAAGAACCCTTCCACGGTGTGGGCAACCGGGAAGTGATAACCGCCCTCATACCTCTAACAGCACTCAAGACCACTGTATTCATAGTCAACCTCCCTCTTCAATTCCTATTATTCCTCCTACATCGACTTTATACACTAAACTTCCTCTTTTAGCTTCCTCCTCAAGTGTCACCACAGCCAACGATTCTAATGCTCAAAACACTGTCCCAGGTCTACTGAAACCTCGCTCCAAACTATACATTGGAGCCTTCAACGTACGCACACTATGCCAAATCGGTCAGCAGGCTTCCTTGGCTAAAACCTTAGAATCTCGTACCATTGATGTATGCTGTGTCTCCGAAACACGCATACAGGATCCTAGTGTGGTCATTCACTTGACCTCACCTCGACAAAACGGAGAGCCAACGAGATACACCCTCCGTGTATCTGGCGACCCGATGGCTAGTTCTCGTGGACTGGCAGGTGTAGGCATAGCACTTAGCATGAGGGCGGAACAAGCGCTATTAGAATGGATCCCCGTTAACAGTCGTCTATGCGCTGTTCGGCTAAACGGCTCCGTAAGAACTCGGAAGGATAGGGACACACGTCGTTGCCTTTTCGTCGTTTCTGCCTACGCTCCCACTGACTGCAGTTCGGATGAAGTGAAAGATGAATTTTACAGAAAGCTGTCTGAACTTCTTCAGAAAGCTAAACGTTCAGACATAGTACTCGTAGGAGGTGAGTTTAGTGCCCAGGTAGGTAGCTTAAACGAAACAGAAAGACATTTAGGTGGGTATTTTAGTATTCCGGCACAGCGAACAGATAAATAGACCATATTGCCATCAGTCATCGTTGGAGAGGGTCAATAGAAGATTGTCGCTCATTCTGGGGTACCTGCTTGGACTCTGATCATGCCCTAGTACGAGCACGCATCTGCTTGCACCTCACTGGACGCAAAAGAGCCACACAAAAAAGACTCATTAGAACCGAATTGAGTAATGAGAAAGCCAAAAGTAGGTTCCAGGAATAACTGAGGTCACACTTAGGTAGTTCTGAAAACGAGACTGACCCAGATGTTGCTTGGAAAGTTATACAAGCAGCTGTGGAAACAGCAGTGACATCTACCAGTGAGTTAAACCAAATGGTTACAAAAAACCAATGGATTTCGTCAAGGTCTATTGCACTGATAGATTCTCGCAAACTCATCCCATCAGGTTCTGAATACGACGAAGAGCGTAAAGAAATCAGATCTAGATTAAGCAAAAGTCTAAGGAACGATCGTGAGCAGTGGTGGGCAACGAAAGCAAAAGAGATGGAAAAGGCGGCGGCTATAGGGAACACAAGACAACTCTACAGACTAATAAAAGAAACTGGAATTAATAAATCAAGTGTAAGTCAGACTATTTCGGAAAAAGACGACACTCTCATCTGCTCCCAGTCCAGACGCTTAGAACGATGGGCGGAACACTTTAAGGAGCAGTTTAGCTGGCCTTCAGCTACTCTACAACTACCCTCTATTCCCAGACAGTGTGAATGGAACATTGAAGTAGGTCCTCCAACTCTAGCTGAAGTTCAAAAGGCTATAGCTAATCTGAAACGAGGAAGGGCAGCTGGTCCAGACGGATTGGCCCCAGAGGTCTTTAAGGATGGTGGTCTAGTCTTAGCGATTAGGTTGACTAATATTTTAGCTAAAATCTGGGAGTTAGACGTTATTCCATCTAACTGGTCACAATCACTTATCGTCCCAATATTTAAGAAAGGGTCAAAATCATCCTGTGACAACCACAGAGGGATTAGTTTGACTAATATAGTATCTAAAATACTAGCTTCGATAATTTTCGGACGCCTAACTAAAACTCGTGAGCTGCAAACACGTGAAAATCAGGCTGGCTTCAGACCTGTTCGTGGCTGCATCGACCACATATTCACCATTCGTCAGATTCTAGAACACAGATATACTTATCGGCGTCCGAGAATGGTGGTATTCCTTGACTTAAAAGCAGCGTTTAACTCTGTTGACCGAGAGGTTCTGTGGCAGTGTCTGTCATTGAAAGGCGTACCTCAGAAGTACATAAACCTTGTGAAGGCTCTTTACTCGAACACTACTAGTCGGGTCAGAGCCTATGGCGAACTGTCATCTGCTTTTGCAACCTCAAGTGGCGTCCGTCAAGGCTGTCCACTTTCTCCTTTTTTGTTTAACTTTATCATAGACATCCTGATGGAAATAACGCTCTCATCGACTGACTTCTCGGGTATTGATCTCCTACCAGGAGGTCCACTTATTGACTTAGAATACGCAGATAACATAGTCCTGTTTGGTGAAGACGCTGATGAAATGCAGAGTCTTTTGGTAGCACTGAGCAACAATGCTAGAATGTTTGGGATGCGCTTTTCTCCCTCTAAATGCAAGTTGTTGCTTCAAGACTGGTCTGCATCAACACCTGAACTAAGGATAGGGGGTGAAGTAGTCGAACGCGTTGACAACTTCACTTATCTTGGAAGTCTGATCAGCCCTAATGGGTTGGTGTCTGACGAAATCTCAACACGGATTCGAAAAGCTCGCTTGGCCTTTGTCAACTTACGTCATCTATGGCGAAGGCGAGATATCCGTCTATCAATTAAGGGACGAGTATACTGCGCGGCAGTTCGTTCCGTCCTTCTATACGGCTGCGAAACATGGCCTTTAAGAGTGGAAGATATTCGTAAGTTACTAGTGTTTGACCACAGGTGCCTTAGAAATATTGCGGGTATCTGCTGGGATCACCGGGTAAGTAATAGTGAGGTTAGACGCAGGGTATTAGGGAATGATGGTAAATCAGTTGATGAGGTTATGGATCTTCATCGACTGAGATGGTTGGGCCACGTGTTGCGTATGCCTGAACACCGATTACCACGACGCGCAATGCTGACTAGTGCAGGGGATCATTGGTAGAAAGTTAGGGGCGGCCAAACCAAAACGTGGCATCAGTGCTTGAAGTCACTAACTTCTGGTCAGGCCATGTTGGG